TTAGAACATCAATTATAGTAAATAACTAGCATGTTCATAAGTATAAAAACTTAATGAATTTGAATACTAACCTTTTGTAGTTCAAATTCCTTTTTCCTCACGAACCGGTTTTGAACCACCACTAGTGTCTTCTCCACTATCCTCCAGCCTTAGAATGAGATTGTGGAATCCAGTGAGTGACTAAACTTGGGAGGGATTTAGTATATATGAAGAGAGAGCTTCTGAGAATTTTCTCAAGGTCTTTTTCAAGGAAGAAGGCCTTTCATGTACCATGATTACTCTATTTAAAGAGTTATGTTTGTATGTTCATGCAAATTTGAGACCACCAAATTTTGACACTCAAAATTCCACTCAAACTTGTGGGGTTTATTTGGCAAGCATGCAAGTTTGGTTAAACCAAATTTTGTCACCTCAAGATTCCACTAACATAGATTTTTCCATTAAATGAAGTGAACATTTTGACTTTCTTAATTTTAATTCAACAATTAATTTGAATAATTAATTTCAAATTAAAGTAACATTAAATGATTAATTAAACTATTTAATTAATATTTAATATTAATTCAAATGTCAATCTCAATCAATTCCGACACATAATTGATTAAGATATTTAAATCTTATTTAAATATCTTGAATTCTCTCTTTTTGTTTAATTCGTAAATAAAACAAAAATGCAGTTAAATATATCGTATATATGTAGCGCATATTCCCTAATTTGAATTCGAGCACTTCGAACTCACTCGTCACACTGTTCAATGGTTTAGTCCAATATGAGCTAGCAGAGGGACCTAATGGACCTATAGATCATGGGCTCCAACGATCCAAGATTAACTAGTTAAACTCATTAACCTTGTTAACCAACATTCGTTAACTACTAGAACACTCCACTATAGCCTAGTAGTTGCACTCCCCTCACTATAGATATATTTCTGTCCATTTGATATAACCATGATTAGTAAGTCGATCCTTCACAGGTTGTTCGTAACTAGAGCTGGGTCAATTAGCCATTTTACCCCTGAAGTTACTTCTTGTTCCTTATGTTCCACTGATTCTCTTATGAATAATTGGTTTGTGCTCCAACCAGTAAACCAAATCCCTCTCAGGCCAATGAGTGGGTGGGGCCCCTTGTTCAAGACCTGGAGTCAGTACTTAAGAGAACTACCTCTCTTCTATCCCTAAAAGTGGGTAGGAGCGAAATCCATCTTGCACCCCACGTCCCCAGCTATTCACCCAATCTTACCCCTGAAATGGGAGGCCTATTGAGTCGGCGAACTCGAGACACTCTCACCCATGCAAATCTAAGGATAATTCCGAATGAACAGGAGTTCATGGTTAGCTCAGGATTAAGATCGAGTTACCTAGGTCATCGAATGAAAAGAAAATCAATCTCAACAGAAAACGACATTATAAAGAGAGAGTGGTTTTCTTCATGGTCCGATCTTATGCAATACTCATTGCATAGGACGCCCCCACTCACATGTCTCCACATGTACAATTTAGTGATCACATTGTTTATATCATATACAAAAGTGGGTCGCATCCATAGTGTCCCCAGAATAAGGTACTCAGCCTTATCCTTATACTATAGATCATTTTGACTATATACTTGAACTTGATCCACTTTTATGTCTCTACATATAGTTCAAGTAATCATACTATAGCCAGAGTGTTCTTAGTTTATTGGATTTAGATTAATGATCGTAAAGTTCACTTTATTTAATAACAATCTTTACTGAATAAACATCAATAATAACTTTATTGAAAATAGAATATGTCTTTGTTTACAAATTATGAGTTTTAAGACATAAAACCCAACATAACTATGTCGTCGAGGTATACTACGACAAACTGATCCAAGTATTCGTGGAAAACCTGGTTCATTAATGTGTAGAACGTAGCTGGGGCGTTTGTCAAACCAAAGGGCATTACTAGGAATTCAAAAGCCCCATATCTTGTTACACACGTCGTCTTGGGCTCGTCCCCTTCGGCGATACGTACTTGGTAGTACCCTGATTGTAAGTCTAACTTCGTGAAGTATTTGGCCCCATGAAGCTGGTTAAACAAATTAGATATTATTGGCAGTGGGTATTTTTTGCGTACCGTCACCTTGTTTAAGGCTCTATAATCGATGCACAGACGCAACGTCCCATCCTTCTTTTTCTGAAATAGTACGGGGGCTTCGTATGGTGCCTTTGCTGGGCGGATGAATCCTGCCGTCAACAACTCATCTAGTTGTTTCCTCAATTCGGCTAGCTCAGGGGAAGCCATCCGGTATGTGTTCTTTGCTGGGGGTTTAACCCCGGGGAGGAGTTCAATTTTGTGATCGATGCCTTGACGAGGTGATAGTGTTTGTGGTAAGCTCTCTGGCATTATGTCAACATAACTATCTAGTACACCTGGATTTCGCTTGGAACAATTTCCTCAATGGTCATTTCTTCCATCAGGGGTATAACCATAAATGTAGGTTTCTCTCGCACGAGTCCTCTTTTCAATTGTATGGCCGAGATCATTCTAAGATTACCTGGTTGTTTGATGCTTGCAGGTATCACTGTGGGGCTATGGTAGGTGATCACCAGGCATTTCGCCAGTGGCATTGGGATAACTTTGTGTTCTAGGAGGAATTCCATCCCAAATACCACGTCGAAGTCATCCATGCGAACTACGACAAGGTCCATTTCTCCTGTCCAGGTCCCCAATTTGAAGGGGACTCCTTTAGAAACTCCCACATTAGGCAAGACCTCGGAGTTGACAACTTTCATTTTTCCAGGGTCCTTTTCTATGGTGAGGCCCAATCTTCGTGCTTCTTGGTCAGCGATGAAGTTGTGGGTCGCACCCGAGTCTATCAAGGTGCTCTTGCTTGGTTGGGAGTTTATTGTTGCATCTACGAACATGAGCCCTTTCTCTATTATCTCCTTTGGGTCGACCTTCCGTTGGAGGGCTGATAAGAATTTAAGCGTACCCATTCGAGGGTTGTCCTAATCTTCCCTCCTGTCTGGCGTAGTCTCGACTCCTATGTCATTTCTCTCTTGAATGGACACTTGGAATGCACTGAGAGAGTCCCGATGAGGACAGTAGGACAGTCTGTGGGGACCTTTACACAACATGCATTGTAAAGGTGTCGTTAGGTAGTTCTTTTGAGGGTAAGGTCCTCGAGAAGTTCCCACTTGGTTATTTTGAGGAGGTCTATCTGTCCACCCACTTGGTCTGTCATTACTTCCATTTAGTCTATTGGGGCCTTCATTTCGATGACCTGGTGGTCTATATGTTATGCCCCCAGTGTTTGGGGCCAGTGTCATTTTTCTTTGGAAACTCACTTCATTCCCAAAGTCTAGGAGTCTCTCGGCGCTGACAATTGCAGTAGCTAGATCTTGAACCTTTTTCTCATGTATTTTTGTTTTGGCCCACGGTTGTAACCCATTTATAAAGAAGAATACCTTGTCCTTCTCTAATGTGCCCTTGATATCTAGCGTTAGGGTCGAGAACTTTCTGACATAGTCCCTTATGCTTCCAGTTTGTTTCAGGTTTATTAGTTTTTCCATTGCCATGTGTTCTACGTTTTCGGAGAAGAATTGGTCTCTCAACTCTCTCTTGAGGTCTTCCCACGAGTTGATGGTGCACAATCCATTCTCGATGTCTTGCACCTTTGTACGCCATCAAAGTTTTGCATCGTCTATGAGATGCATTGAAGCTACTGTCACTTTTATGTCGTCGGTACAAGCCGTTGTGGCTTTGAAGTACTGTTCGACATCAAAGATGAAGTTCTCCAACTCTTTGGCGTCCCGGTTCCCTTTGAAGGGTCTGGGGTCTGGGAACTTTAGCTTGTTGGATCATGTATTAGTTTGCCCAGCCGTGACGTTCTCCACGGCTTTCATTGTCACCCCAATTCGGGTGTTCACGTCGGCCATCCTTTCTTGAATGGCATTGATCGTTGTTCTGAGTTCGTCAGCTAATCCTTCGAACAAACTCATTATTGTATTTTGTAGCACATCGAAGTCTTCGCCACATCCCTCCTTGTGCGTGACAGAGCTATCGAGGCTACCAAAAGGTCTTGAGCTGCTCGTAGGAGCAACTCTTTTATCGAGCGAGGCCACTCGAAACATTAGTTCTGCGATTGACAACCCATCCAGACGGTTGGTCATTGCGTCGATTTGTGCGACTTTTCCATTCTATTCTGTCACCCGTTCTTCTAGGAAGCAGATGGTGTCAGGGACTTCTTTGAGGAGCAAAATTTCCTCCTCTATTAAAGTAAGCCAGTCGACTTGAGATTTGGTTGTCGACTTTGTCGTCGACATGTTTTCTGTCTTTGCTATGTCACGGAGCTAACAAAGCTCTGATACCACTTGTCACAATCGCACTCTTGATGGCAGTGGACTTGCGATTGTGCGGCACTCACTTTCCAACGACAGGTGAGTTAAGCCAATTTGTTCTTGCATCGCCTACGGCCAAGCGCGTATGCTCGAGCATCTGGCCTCGGTTTAAGAGAAGGTTTTAGAAAATGAGGACAGAGAGAGATTTTTGAAAGAGACGTTATATATGCAAGCAAGAGAGTAACAACAACGACTTACAATATATGACCTTGGGTAGGGAGAAGTTGACAACTAGTCATATCCCCCTATAGTACATTAGGCATTTCATGTCTAGTAGGCCTAGACATGATTTTTTTGAAACGTCATACTCCCTAAAAATACAAAAGTAAAACACTAGAACATGGAAAAACATAAAGGGTTTGGCTTGTCATGGTCATGCGGCTGTGGGCAACACGCCTTGGACGAGCATGATCGTGACATCATGCTCCCCATGAACATCTCATCATCATACTATGTGCGTCCGTACTCATCGTCTCTGGGAAAGTAGCCCTTTGCTTATGAACATACAACATCCATGAGGTCTCTCTAATTTCCATCTTATCATCTCTTCTGACACAACCCTCTAGTCTCTGTAGGAAGATGTGGATTTATTTTCTAAAACACAAGTCAGATGTGTTTGCCACCTTTAAGAAGTGAAAACCTGAAGTTGAAAACCAGACTGACTTGAAGACTTGAAGATCAAATGCTTGAGGTCTGACAATGGAGGAGAGTACGACAAGTCAGAATTCAAAGAATTGTGTGCAATTGAGGAAATTAGATTAATGAGGATAGTTTCCGATAAAGCAAAATAAAATAGTGTTGCTGAAAGAATGAACAAAACATTGAATGAACGGACAAGGAGTATGAGGATTCATTCTAAATTACTAGCAACATTTTGAGTTGATGCTATAAATATAGCAATCTACTTAATCAATAGAGGGCCGTCAGTGCCCTAGAAGTTCAAGTTGTCAGGAGAAGTATGAACAGGAAAAGAACTCAAATATTCTCACTTGAGAAGTTTTGGCTGCACTACGTATGTTTGTGTTGATCTAGAGAAGAGTGATAAGCTTGATGCTAAGCCTATGAAGTGCTACCTTATAGGCTATGATTCTGACATTGTGACGTGGCTTTTGAAAAAAAATGTCCTATACAAGGACAGAGAGAAGAAAGGTTCCGGGACAAAAAATCAAGTGAGAGTTGAGGTTGAGTTGTAGAACAATTCACATAGTGATGTTGTAGTAGATACTCGAGAAACTTCTGAGATTGTTGCTAAGTAACTAGAGGTGGAGCAAGTGACACCTGAGTAGGTGTTGAGAGGATTATCTAGAACTATCCGACTACCAGATAGGTATGTACCTTCATTACACTATCTGTTATGGCTGATAAAGAGGAACCAGAACTCTTTGATGCCCTATAGTTGGAGGATACAACCAAGTGGGAGCAAACCATGGATGATGAGATGAGTTGGATGTCTAGGCTTCAAAATTGTGTTGCTCATTCATCTACGAAGGTTGAGTACGTGACAATAGATGAGGCTAAAAAGGAGATGATATTGATGATAGACTATCTAGAATAATTAGGCAAGAAGCAGCGCGAGAAGATTCTTCATATAAATAGTTAGAGACAAAACACATCAGAAGACGATACCATTTCACTCGCATGTTAGTAGAAGATGATTGAGGTTATGGGTATGGTGCAATGAAGACGTTAATAGTTGTTTGAGAATGAAATTCTTAGCTAACTGAATTAGTTTCCAAGTAGGAGAATTGTTGGGTTATGGATCATGCAGCTTACTTATAGCTTATTCAATTGATAGAGTAAAATGCAGATAGAGAGATAGCTTATTCAATTGGTATAGTAAAAAGTAGATAGAGATATATATTGTAGATGGTTATATCTGACAAATTTATATATAGTAAGCTGAATCATATATATACCTCTTAGTCATTCCTTTGCTAAAAAAAAAATAAGTTATCAATATAAAACTTTAACCAAAATTCTTTGGGTGAATTGTTGAAAAAAAAATGTTAGGCCTTGTATTGATCAAAGTTTCATGAGGCTATCCATAGGATCAAAGCGAGGATGCAATAAAGCAGATAAAAAAGTTATGCGTGTGCGTAGAGAACTAAAGTCTGTCATAGCAATGCCCTCACCCTTGTCGTGTTGAGGGAAGAGATGATAAATGATAACGAATTAAAACGTGTTCTGTGTCGAGGAGTGAGATAAATTAATTATATTTATTTATTTTTAATATAATCTATGTAATTAATTATTCATTTTGGTAAAAGTTTATTTACTTGAGAATAAATGTTAAAATTGATTGGAACACTAACCGCAATTATTTGATTCACAAATATTCTATTCTCAAACATAAACAAAACAAAACTTTAAATCAAACGACTTCTCACGAGTAAAAAAAAAAAAAAAAGTACTTGGCACGTGTGGCCCACACACTAACCAAATGTTGGGATTCGGTTGATTGGCAATTGATATCCTTTTTGGTTGGGTGTGGAAAAAAAAGCATACTCCAAGCTAGAGTTCCAAACACCCAAAACCTTGATGGTTCACAAAACCTAATTGCACTTATATCATGTTAATGTGAGACCAAATATGGAAGAATTATACACATTCTACACAATAGACTTAAATATATATATTAGCAAGATTAAAATAAAGGAATAAAGGTGGAAAAAAAACTATAATAATCGCTTGCATTCAAGTTTGTGCTTAACACTTAGAACATTTATAATCAATCCTTAATAACTTCACTCACTACCAAACCACCCTCCAAGGTCTTGGTTTCAACATTTAAAAAAAAACACTGTTTTGAAACTCACCTTTTTGGACCAATTGGGCTGAACAAAATAGTGGCATATTCTGTGAAAAAGGAAAATTCTTCGATAGTTTCCTTGAATCATTGTTTCTAGCAACAACTTGGCGTAAAAAATGCTCTTTCTTGTAAAGATTTTGCAATACCACATCTCAGATCCCTTAGATTATTTTTATTTAATCTTTTTTTTTTTTTTTTTTTTTTTTTTTTT